CCAGGCGGGTCTCGAACCCGTAGGCTCAGGCAATCCACTCACCTCGGCCTCCCAAAGTGCTGGGATTACAGGATGAGCCACGAAGCCCGGCCGATTTTTTTGAAGTAAATATTTTCTATGTTTATTTTATTTTATTTTTTTGAGTTGGAGTCTTACTACATCACCCAGGCTGGAGTGCAGTGGCATGTTCACAGTCACCCCAGCATCAACCTGCTGAGCTCCAGCGATCCTTCCATCTCAGTCTTCCAAGTAGCCGGAACTATAGGCGCGTGCTACCACGCCTGGCTAATTTTTCTTTATTTATTTTACAAAGTCTCATCAAGTTGCCTGGGCTGGTCTCGAACGTGCGAGCTCAGGTAATCAATCCACTTGCCTCAGTCTCCCAAAGTGCTGGGATTACAAGCTGAGCCACCGAGCACAGCTAAAAGTAGATTTTTAAAATTATAATTTTAAAAAGCACTGAAGAAGGCTGGGCATGGTGGCTCATGCTTGTAATCCCAGCACTTTGGGAGAAATAGGTGAGAGGACTGCCTGAGCCCAGGGGTTCAAAACCAGCCTGGACAACATGGCAAGACCTTATCTATACAATAAATAAAAAAATTAGCTGGGCTAGTGATGCATGCCTGTAGTTCCACCTACTTGAAAGGTTGAGGTGGAAGGACTGCCTGAGCCCAGGAGGCTGAGGCTGAGGTGGCTATGAGTGTGCCACTGCACTCCAGTGTAAGCAAGAGAGTGAGACTCTGACAAAAAAAAAAAAAAAAGCACTGAGGAAGAACACAATAAAAACTGGCTAAAATTAAAGCTTCTTTACATAAACAATGAGTATAAAGAACTGTTTTTAGAAAATCAAAGTAGCATGCCTGTAATCCCAGTACTTTGGGAGGCAGAGGTGAGAGGATTGCCTGAGCTCAGGGCATCGAGACCAGCCTGGGGAACTTGGCGAGACCTCATCGCTACAATAAATCAAAAAATTAGCTGGGCATAGTGGCGCACACCTGTGGTTCCAGCTACTTGAAAGGCTGAGGCAGAAGGATCGCCAGAACCCAGCAGGTTGAGGCTGTGGTGGCTGTGAACATGCCACTGTACTCCAGACTGGATGACAGTGAGACACCAACTCAAAAAAAAAAAAAAAAAAAGAAAAGAAAATCAAAATGGCACAGTGCTCCAGGAGTGGCCAAAACAACTACAAACTGGACATGTTAAACTCGGGGGGAGAAGACCAATGCTAAAGGGCAAGAAAAGCTAGAAATAAGCAACGATTCGCGCAATGAAGGCCTAAGACCTCTCAGTGATCTTCCACCTTAGCCTCTCAAGTAGCTGGAATATTCATAGAAAACTGGGGTTAGATGATCATTTTGAAACTGTACCAAAGTAAAAAAAAAAAAAAAAGAATAAATAAAGTTTTAAATGCTCATATTTGAAACAATATTAAAAATAACTGAATTAATCATTCAAACTAAAAAATAAATAATGTAAAGGAGATGTGCAAAGTTAGCAGCAACGTTTTTTAAATTAGAAAATTAAACCTAAAAAACAGTATTTTGATAAATAACACCATAAGTGATTCTTTGAAAGAACTGGCTAAACACTTGACAATCTGAATAAAAAACACCAAAGCAAATACAAACAATATTAGGACAGATAAAGAGATAAAACTAGAAATAAGATATAGAATATCATGTATAATTTTATGTCATTATGCTGAAAAGATTTTTTAAAAACCCTGATTTGTCCAAAAAAGCCAAAAACTTTGGAAGAATGTGGTTTCCTTTGAGAAGTACACAGGGGGCATGTGGGTGGGGGAAGTGGAGAAGAATCACTTTCACTTTTCACTGGACAGATTCATTTTTTAAAGCAACCCCATTTATTAAGATGTTAAAACCAAAGCAAAACAATGCAGTACTATATTTTTTTAATATTGGCAAAACAAATGCAGTACTATATATTTTTTAATACACCTTGTATATTGAGTGAATCTAAGAATGGCTTGACATGAGGAAATCTATGCCTGTAATTCACTACATTAAAAGTCATCAGGAGAAAAATCATATAATTTCAAAATCGTGACAGTTTTCAAGATAATCTCAAATGCCAAAACTCAATATCTACTCAATGTGTTGAGCCTGATGAAATTCTCAGAAAGCTAGAAATAGAAAACTTTCCTTCATAATATTATGCATCCATCACCACCACCCACCTCCATAATGCTTTCACCTTGTAAAACTGAAGATCAATACCCATTAAATAATAATACAGCAAGACTATTTTATAAGAACCTTTAAAACATATAAAAATAACATCATATATATTTTTAAAAATTGAAGTACACCTAAAGACTTACACTTTCTGCATAACAAAGTAATTCAAAAAGCTTCTTGCTTGAAGGAGGCAACTGGTTACTAGACCGTACACACGGCTGCTCAGAAGTCTGGTGTGACGGACTCTTCAACTTCAAATTGAAGAAACGGGATCTGAATGGAATTGCAGCCTCCATACCCATGCTTGGAGTATGAGTCCCATTCTGCAGTGAGTCTATACTCTCCTTTTGGCCAAATTCTACAACAGCATAGAGCCCCTATACCAAAACATGAAAACCACACACGTTTCATAATATATTTAACATGCTGTTTTAGTTTATCTTTTAAAACAATTATCATAATGCTACAAAATATCAACTTTTTAAAATTTACAAAAGATGTGATCCTAATACCAGCAATGGTTTTACTCTAAGTAGATTAAGAAAAGACTATAAAGTGTATTAGTCAAGAGAAGCTGAAAAGAATGATGACATAAAAAATTAAAAGGAAAAACAGAAATCCCTTCCCCAAGATATTGGGACTATCTAAAGTATTCAATTTGGTGAGGTGGCACACACTTGTAGTCCCAGATACTCAGGAGGCTGAGGAAGGAGGATCACTGGAACCTAGGAGTTAGAGAATCTAGTGTACTGGGCTATGATGGCACTTATGAAAAGCCACTGCACTCCAGCCTGGGCAACATATCAAGACCCCTATCTTTTAAAAATTGGAGTATTCAAATAGCGCCATCATTTAGTCATACATTACTTATAATTCCAAAATATTGCTATAAGGATTTCTATTCTCATATGCAAAAAAAAAAAAAAAAAGACTCATTAAAGAAACTTAGATAAAGAAAGATGTAGGATATGAAACGAGATTCTAACTTTACCATATTGCAAAATGCAACAACAACAAAAAACCTAACAGAGACCTCTATCCTTCAAACATATAACATTAAGTTAGACTGGTTTTCAAATACTTACAAAGCTGTCATAGAAGAAATGATTATTAATAGGTCCATGTTGGGATAAATATTTAAGAAACTTTTTTTCATTGATTTTATTTGGGCAATGTATTAAAACAGTCCGCTGTGCCTGTTCTCGTCTTTCTTTTTGTACCTCAGAGAACGTCTTTTTGGGAGTCTTATCCTCAGAGCCTATGAATGAGACAAAAGCATTTTCACCACTAAAAAGAAGACGTATGAGCAGCCAACAGATACATGAAAAAACGCTGTCTTACTAATCATCAAAGAAATGCAAATCAAAACCACACTGAGATACCACCTAACTCCAGTCAGGATGGCCATCATCGATAACTCAAAAAACAACACATGCTGGTGAGGACGTGGAGAAAAGCGAATGCCTCTACACTGTTGGTGGGAGTATAAAACTTGTATAACCTCTGTGGAAAACAGTGTGGTGATTCCTAAAAGATGCAAAAATTGACTTTCCACACAACCCAGCAATCCCCCTTCTGGGAATATACCTGGTAGAACACAAATCATTCTACAAAAAAGATAACCTACACATGCATTGTTCACAATAGCGAAAACATACCAACTGTGCTGCCCATCGAAAGTAAACTGGATTAAAAAAAACATGTAGTACATATACATGATGGAGTATTATGCAGTCATAAAGAAGGACAAAAGTATGGATTTCGCAGCAACTTGGATGGATGTAGAATCTATAATATTCAGAGATCACAGAAACAAAAAACCAAGTACCACATGTTCTCACTCCTAAGCGGATCCTGAACATTAATCATAATACTATTAGAAAGGGAAGCCAGGCTCGGTGGCTCAGCCTGTAATCCCACGCCTTGGGAGGCTGAGGTGAGTGGATTGACTGAGCCCATGGGTTCGAGACCCGCCTGGGCAACTTGGCAAGACCTCATCTCTACGATTAAAAAAAAAAAAAATTAGCCGGGTGTGGTAGCGCACGCCTGTAGTTCCAGCTACTTGGAAGGCTAAGGCGGAAGGATCGCCGGAGCCCAGCAGGTC